AAGAAAAGACTCATGAGTTGGACAACTGACTGCTAATACCATTCTGGTTAGGACCCTAGAATCAGGTAACATGAAGATCTGATACATGTACACCTTATGACGCAGCCCACAGCTGGGGCTCCCCCTTATGGGCTGGATGACGAAAACAAGACATACATTGGACAACATGGATACAATCCTCATAAGGTCGGATGGGCAGAATATTTCAAATGTATACCAAAAAATTATCTCGTCTCGACATCTTCGTACTTTCATGTCTCTTCATGCAGGTCATTTTAATTTCAATAGGGGTAGATATAATAATAAAAGTGCCATTGCGACGCGTATGGTTCATTCCATTCCATTCAATTAGTCTGGTTGCACGATATAGTTACAAGGTTCATTAAATGTTAAATGTTCCTAATACCGGTGGTTCCGCCTGAATGGTACAAGGATACGTACCTTCCCCCTAGCCAGGCAGCCCAGGTACCCTGAACGTTGAAGTGTCTTCTTAGGCCCAGGTGCCAGCGCCGGGACCTAAATTATAATTTCTCTCCCTGGCCGAGAACGACACGACGCAACCACAACACCTTGCCGAGTCAACCAACACATTTTGGGCTCAACCTCCAACCCGAAGTCGACAAACCTACCGCACACACAGACAGACTAGTTCGATTGTCCATGACAATACCGTCTACCCGATATCGTATTCCGTGCGTTCGGCGTCTGACGTCTGTCTGTTCTCTTATTGCTGGCTAGGCTGATTGCGTACTGCTGGGCGCAATGAACGCCATACAGCAAAGATGTCGCCCGAAACACCAAGTCTTGGTCCTTAAGTGTTATCCTCGCACTACGAAGGGAGCCGTCGATGTCAAGCCAAACTCGAGCGAGCTGAGTTATCTCCTATTCTACGCTACCTCGCGACGATCCAAGATCCAAAAAGTCGGCCAGTTCCTTGAGAAGAAGACGGCCAGCGATGTGTGGAGAGTGCGAATTGGGTATGTCCGCCGCTTCCGCTTCCGCTACACAACGCCGTGATATACTACGGCCTATATAAAGTCCTAATATACGCGCAACTCGAATGATTGATGTAATTGGTACTGACAGTTGTAACTGTCTAGAAATGTCCAGGTCACCTTGCAGATCCTGGCGGCTCTAATCGAGAAGGCCCCGAAAGATCTTCCCCTATTCGCACAGAATGTCCTCAAGATTCTGGACCTCGTCCTCCGATCCAACGATATCACTATGGTCGAAGCTTCGTTGCCTACTTTTCGAACCTTCTGTGACCACCACGATGTCTCATCCCTTTTTGCTGACCAAGCTTATCTCTACCAATACGAACAGGTCGTCCGCTCCTATGCTACATTCGCGTCAACCCGGAAGGCTCCTGGTAAAGGCACAAATAGCAAGCCTGTTGCCCTAAGGTGGAGGAATGCTGGTCTGGAAGCTATTAAGAGCATTGCGGAATCTGAAGCGCTATCATCCGTCGCCGGACGCCAACTCGACGTTATAGTGCCTCTGATTCTAGAAAATCTATGGACCGACAACGAAGAATTCCTTGAAGTTCTACTGCAACGTGTCCAGATGGAAGAGAAGGTCGATTCCAACGCCTTATTACGACGTAGGACGAGTATTTCCACCGTCCGAACTGCGGATACTGGAGGCGATGCGAATCCCATAGCTATCTCGGGTACGTCGGTTGATATCGACAAGCTAGCAGAAGAAGACATCGGTGTTATGGCCATGCAATGCTTAAAACAAATATTCGTAATTCCCAACAGGGCACAAATCAACGGGGCGACTACTGCGTTATTAAGATTTATAAAGGAGAGGGTTCAGCAAAAGGAGACAGTGGTGATGGAAGCTCAGGATGGCAAGGGGCGTGACCACGGCTGGGCGATCAAAATCTTCGAATTCGTCGCGAGATGGGCTCCGGTACAAGATCGCTATGTTATCATGATCACAACTATGGACGCGCTTCTGCGGACTCCTCCGACTGACGAGCATGTGGCCGACCATATCGTGCTTACTGCTGTCATAGGATCGTTATTGAGCTCCGACATCAACTTGATCGGATTGAGTGTTATGGACGTCCTCTTAGGGTTGATACAACACATGAAGCGAGTCCTGAAGTACTCGGGCAGTTCAAGGGGGAGTGGTGGCTCTGGTACGGCGTCAGGGGACGAGAATCCCTCTTCTGTTGCCGATCCCTCTCAGCACATCTCAGCCCCGTATAAGGAACTATTGACTCGCATCCAGAGGTCCATTGGCCATTTAGCCACTCATGTCTACTACGCGGATCAGATTTCCGATATGATTTCTACCATTCTCCTGCGACTTAAGCCCCACCCGAGTATAGCCAACTCGCCGCCAGGAGCAGAAAGAGTTGATGCTTTACCCGGGGCTTCAACGGGAAACGTCTCGGACGACCAGTCTCACCTTGATAGTTACTTCGCGTTGGATTTAGCGAAGACTATTGCACTCCAGGCTGTCAAGTCCGTTCTTCTCGTTGCCAATCCGGAGACAAAGATCAGCGGAAATGTCAACCTGACGAGAAATAAGGTCCCCATACAGGTCTGGGAGGGCACGCATTGGCTCCTGCGCGATCCAGATGGACAAGTGCGAAAAGCTTACGTTGACGCCGTTACGACCTGGCTCGATAGAGAAACCACTAGGGCTGATCTAGAAGCACGAGACGATATGGACCTAAAACCATCACGAGCGAATAATAGGGATGTCCCACCAGCAAGCGTTGCCCGCCGAGCCGTTTCGAGTGCTTCGAATCGAGAGAAGCCTGCGAGGGTTCCGAAATCCCATTTCTTACAACTACTTCATCTCGCCATCTACGACAACGCTCTACAATTCATGGAATACGAGACGGATATTGCTCTCCTCCATATACTACTGACCAAATTAGTCAACAAACTTGGTGTCAATGCTACTAGATACGGTCTTCCAATGATTTTCCGGCTCCAGGAGGACATTTTAGAAGCAGAGACTCCCGCATCGAAGGTCCATCTTGGATGTCTCTGTCATGGCTACTTCTGGGCGCTTAGCGAGCACTTTGAGTTTGAGGCATCGGCTGTTGGTCGAGCTATCCATAACGAGATTGTTCGGAGAAGAAGTAAGCATTTCTGGGTTGAGGGCGTCCACGTACCAACACCTTCATTGGAGCTTTTGGGAACTCCCGGTACGGTCAGACCGCAGCCCAAGATACGTACACAAGAAGTCGAATCAGAAGCCCTGCTACCGTTCGACGACCGCCTCACGCTGGTAGAGTGTATTTGCACAAATTACAAGCAGAGGACCATCTCCCCGCCCGCAAGTCCTTCTGCCTCGCCCGGCCGCGCATTCGCGCATCCGATCCTGAGCTCTACCCTGAGCACTATTCCACGAGCTGATGATGAGCACGAATTGCCTAATAAGTTCAGAGAGGAAATGTTAGCAGAATGGAATCGAGAGGCCGCTATCAATGCACTCCAAGTAGAGAGCAAGTCAGCCTCGCTCAACGGATCCAAAACTGGAACAACTGTCACCAAAGGAAATCATCTCACTGTTAACGGGCCTTCGGCTAATGGGTACCCCCCCAGTAGACCAGAGTCAGCTTACGCTCGTCAGAATACGCTACGACCAACGTCACACGCTAGTCAAGTTGCAGCCCTACGTAACTCTAGCGTACAAAGTCACGGTTCCGGAAGGAGTGGCTCCAGTCGAGTCTTCGTAGCTTCTGTCGACCAACTGAAATCCGTCCTGACCGGAGACCCAGTCCGGCCAGCTACATTCCAGACGTTACGGGAAGATGACGACAGCAGCGACAGCATGGCAAGCTATGATTTTACGCCATCGGAGCTTTCGTTCAATCCTAACGCAGCCGATGGCATGGACAGCCACGAAGCAGCCCTAGCACGGTCAAGGTCGAAGTCTCGGGAGCGAAAGGCGTCTGGAGACTCGGGAGGTCCTCTCACATCCCACCCTCCGGAGGCTGATATTGAAGATGGAGAAGACGTGCCACCGGTACCTCCGCTACCAGCTTCACTGGTAGGGAAATCCCCTACGCCCGAAATTGGCCTCGAGCGTCTCGCCAAGGTTTCAAGCCAAGATCACGCCGTGAAGACTCCCAAAAGGAATATTAAGAGCCGAGGGGGCGACAGTATCCTCTCAAATAGCTTCGCTAATGCAGGTACCGCTAGCCTAGACCTGCAAGCAATGCTGAAGGGCATCGACAGCAAATCAAAGCAGAACACGATCGGAAATCTTACCAAACCGCCTTACTGACAGTCTACGCTGTACAACGCTCATATGTTCTACCTGGGCCTACCTTGAGATTTTGCGAAGGCGATGGAATTAGGGATTAGTCGTAATGGCAGCTCGAAACGAAGGTTGAGTTCGCATTAGGGAGGTGTTGCATATCATTAACACCAAGGAGCATTTAGGGAGGGCATAACCGGCATAAAGAGGAGGAAATTCAGGGACTTTGACCAAAAGAAGAGAGATTAACTCCGCGGGGCAACTCTATCTAACATATACTTGTATATATATTACACGTGTGCTTGTTCTTGCGTCGCCGGCCTTTTGCTTTTCAGCGCGGCTGGTTCTTGGCTTCGGGGTTTTGTTGGCCACTTGCTATGGATCGGTGGCCTGGGATTAGGAGGTATTTAGCAATAGAAGGGAGCATATTAAAATAAAAGAGGCTACTGCTTTTGAAGAGATCTTATTGCCCTCCCGAATTGAACCGATCAGGCGATATTGTTCTTGGGGGACATATATCCTGACTATGTCGTATCCAACCGGTTGACCGCCCTTCGACGAGCTCGTTTGCTCATGATTTAGACATAAGTCGAAGATAAACTTATTGAGTGCAAACCCGAGTTTTTGAAAATAACAACATTGTTACTTCCCCACTGCAAATGGTCAATACTGTGTAGCATCGCCCCACTTCGTATCTCACATGAGAAACTTTTGCCGGTATATAAATTACAAAAAGTAGAAGTTTTACCATCAGCCAGTCAGCGACTGAATACGCCCGCTTGGCTAAGTGGTATAGCGCATCACTAGTAATGATGAGATCACAGGTTCGATTCCTGTAGTGGGCAGTTTATTTTTGCTATTTTCTCATTTCTTTTTGCCTACATGTAATTACCTTATCCCATTACTTATCCCCAGTCATCATCACGCTCGGGTGTCCCTTTTTCGTAGTGTCCACTTCTTATTGGGATTGTGATGCCAGAAACTACCGCGCCGACCGACCTTCAGAATATTGGAAGTACAACACTATTGGCGATGCTTTGCTCATGCATCCACGACCACATTCAGCAGTGGGCACTCGTTATATTCCTCGTATCGCTAAAGCGTTGGGATTCAGGGTCTCATCATTACGACGGTTGGGTTGAAGATCATCCGATGTGTACCCGACGAATCAATCCTCCCAGTGGAATACTGTAGCTTGGAACCCGGTCTACCCGGACCGCGGTCGTCTACGACTATTCAGGTCTGGATGACAGCTAGGATGATAATGAGACCCAAGAAAAGGGCGCTTCCTGCCAATTTTTGAGAGCTATTCTCCTTGAATACGAAACGGTCTGTATGAGTTGCCCCCTTTCAAACTCTACGGCATCCCGCGCTGCGTAATAATATCTTGTGTCGTGCTAGCACGATGTAAGGAACGATGGGGTGCCGGAAGATGCGCAGGCAGCTCCTGATTAAATGCCTCTCGAGCTCTGCTTCGTAACGATGGTAAGACACAGTGCGAAGTCGTGTTTATGTCAGGAAGTGATTTCAGAGGTAAGAGGTAAACTTATAAACATCTAGATTGAACAGGACCAGTGTTGCGGATATCTCGCTATTTGCAGAGCATTGGTGGGCGTGGTGGTCCAGCCACTGATCAACAGATCGGCGGTCAAAAGAACACCCCGGGAACGCAAGTAGTCTTTGTCACAACTTTGAACTTTCCCTTTTAATTGTTTGAGTTACTAATAGGACGGAATAGATACTATAATTCTATACCTAGCCGACTCTAGAATCCCGTACGAATCTATGACCTCAGTGCTTGGCTTCTCATATAATCGGATAACTCGATGCGCTCGTCTATTTCCAGATGGTGTCACCGTCATCGGGCAGTTGGTCCACCATCTCACTTTCCGGCATCCCAGCGGCCAAACGTTCCAAGTTCTGCCTTACACTCAGTCGTATATATGGTGTCCCCGTCCCTTTAGCATATCCGCCTCCCTGGCCTAGGATATTGGAAGCGCCATCCTTGGCGTAATGATGGCTGAATAGGGGCGGCTGGACTGTGAGGCAAATTGGAACCTTCTCTTGATTTTCTTCGGTAGCGCCTTCATCGTGGCCTACCCCTGATTTCGGTCGATATTTATCTTCGGCCTCGTACTTCCCCTCGCACCATTTCTGTAGCATCAGGTCCCATTGGGTATCGTAATGGGCGTTGAACTTGGAAAGCAGTTTGCGGGCTCCTTGCTGGCTAACAGCATAAGCCAGGCTGCAGACATTCCCGCTGGACGCATGAACCACCCGGGTATGTGGCGGATATACTTCGCCTAGCTTGTCCGGCATAGCGAACGGGTGTGGTTTGAGGTGCTTTGGAGCTGGGACAGTTTCGTCGTTTGATATCGTGATTCTTAGTGGTGAAATCAAGGACTCGTCATCGGGAAAATCAGTGCCGCAGTGGCCGAGCCATTGGATATCCCAACCCTCCCCGTACGCAGTTTTCTGGGCTTCGGTACCGGCCTCGGTGGCTGGAAATAATTGCATCGTACCCGAGAGCTCTATTTGATGCTTATTGACTTTTGATTCTCTGAGCCAGGTCCTTGAAGCCGAAGAGTATGTCTGCAGCTGTGACTTTAGGCGCACATCCCAGTCTATATCGTCCTCGAGAACAAGCGCGCTTGTCAAATTTTCTGCGACAATGGCTTGCAATGCATTCATATGGGATCTCCACGATCCCTTCGCCCCCGAAGAACGTGCTCCATCGTGATCTAATGAGACATATTTCTCAACTTCATCACCTGAGATACCATCTATCCAAGTGAAAGTGAGATTGCTGACAGCACCCGCTAGAGCTATTGAGTCCCTGCGGTCTGTACGCGATGGAAGATTTATCACGAATATTTTTGAGAACTTCGAGGGACATCAGCTTATGACACTAAAGTGTAAAGGACGGATAATGGAGAAGGGTACCTTACACCAAGCGTATTATTGAAAACGTCTTCTGTGTCGCCTATGTGCCAAGATCTGAACTTTCTCAATGTGTCAGAAGCTGTGAGCCTCTCCCAATAAAGGTAGAGGAGAGGGATTAGGATGCATATGACAGCGAAACCTCTGCGGTACGGCGGCATCGCGCATAGGTATCCAAAAAGGGGGTCATTTCAATTCCAACACGTGTCGTATTATAACTCTGTTAGATGTACTGATGGGCCATTGATGAGAAGTTAACAAGTCGACGCGCCAGGGTGGCCTGGACTATTATGCGGCTCATCCAATGGAGGTTTGGTTTGCGGATAAAGGGGCCGGGTAAATCCGAAACCTCATCGTTAAGCCAAGGCCTTATCCAACTGCTGGAAGTAACTTATCACGAATTAAACATCATTCTAGTCATATTAATCGTCAGTAAACGCCCTTAAGTTAACGCGATATAAATATGGTGACGTTTCTTTCCATATCTTCCCGCCCTTTTTGATAATATCCTTGGCTCTAAGATGGACCTCCTAAAGTCCGTATTTAGACATGAAGAATAACTTATTATTCCTTTTCATGCTACTTCAGTCCATGGCTACGTCTATATTCAACACTCTGCTACTGGACATAAATAGCATCTAAGCTTCTTCCCGTGATAGATGTATCTAACGATATTGTGGCGATCGCCTTTCGTATCAGTGCAATTTCACCGGTTGTAGCTATCGAGGTACTCATACTGGATACTGTTATTACTTTCATTCACCGCATCTCCCGCCAGTATATATGTGCCTTAACCTTCAAGCGCTTGGACGACCTGGGCCCAGTCCTCCTGAATATATGCCCCAGGTACTTGATCGCCGTCGAATAAACTAGCCATGATTACCCGATCGGATTGCTCACCCTCCCATGGCTCACGCCCGTGTTGGGCGATGATATTATCGAATACCAGCACATCGCCACGCTGCCACTTGTGCAATACACGAATCTCGTCTGTGATCTTTGCGAGCCGCGCAAGATATTCTTCTGGAATTGGCGTGCCATCTCCAAAGAGCTGCTGCGTGACGTTTCTTCCAATGGTCTTGTTGACCTGGGCATTCTTATAGTAAGCTGCTAGGCCAGTGAAAAGTGTCGGCAAGTCCGTGCCTGGTTGGGTGCGGATTGCGGGAAGTTTGTGTGTGAGGACGATGCCGTCGTCGATCCATTCCCAAGTTGTGTATTTGCCCCTTCCGTACCGCGCGATCTGGGCTTCTATCTTCGCCCGCTTCGTCATCTCATCGTCTCCATCTTTGATTTCCTTTCCAAAGGCCTGCTTAAGCGTTGAGCCCCCGGCATACTGCTTGCCAAACTTGTAAGTGACCCTGCTTAGAATCCCTTTCTCCGCGAGCTGGTTGATGAACTCGGGGATTTCCTGCTGCGCTCGATGGAATAGTTCTAGCGAGGAGGATATTGGTGACTCCCCACCTTTCTCAGGAACTCTATGGCCGTAGAAAAAGATGTACTCAGGGGCATGGGGTACTTGTGGGGACTCATTGTGATTATAGATGAGGACCTCCTTTGGTGATTCGTTGGCTGGTGCCACATTGGGAGCAAGTAGTGGCCTATCAACGACGATTCCAATGATCTCGTCTGTCATACGTTAATATTCTTTGCAGATGACGCGCGATAATATTTTGGACTTCGACTCGACGAAGCAAGAATCAATGATAGGGTTACAATGTTTCATTTAGGAGCTATTGCGACATACTGTAAATCTGTTAGCTCAGCTGCTAAATTAGAGTGCTCCATGATTTCTTCGCACGTACCGTGGTTTATAACCGAAAGCGTGAGCAAACCTGCTGAAATCATTCGCGTCGTGAATTGGCAGGCCTCGAAACAGCAAGGATCCATGGACAGCCAATTTCTTGGTTAGAATATCACCCTGTTTCTGGAGATGTTTCACTGTCTCGATCACTGTCTTGAGATCTGGTACGATGTTGTTAGCGGTAGACGGCCGTAAGGCGAGAGGGATGACCGTATTTTCCGGATGAGGATGTCCGAGTATGCGTTGGTTCGTTGACGAAAGATCGAATGATTCAAAGGTTATCAATGGAGAGTCTACCCTCCTTGGCCCTGACACCTGTATCTTCGCCTGGTTCAGAGTTGTAGCCATGGTATTCAGCTATGAATTTAGTTTTCGAATGTATGTAAAGTATTAGGCGAGTAGTATATGGAATCCGCTCAAAAGATGATATATTTTCGAAGTTAAGGTAACGTAAATATGCAGGTAGCCTCTGATGATCTTTGTCCGCGCCTCCGATAAACTTCCGACCTATCATACCCGGATTCGCACCCCTTCGGTTTTGGGCTAAAATCACGTCATCTGAGGAGCCGTAGAGCCAGCCATAATTGACTCCTTTCATCGTAGCATTAGAGCCACGAGTTTTGGTAACTTCGCGCTTCATCCTATCACTGTCTAGTGAACGGCACGTCAGGGGTCTAGAATCTAGCGCATGTTACGTCTGAGTAACCGTCTGAGTAACGTAAATATTGAGGCCTAAAGTAATACACCAGGTCTTACTCTCCATGTAATAGTCATATATAGCACGTACCGGGACGCGATATAATATCTGAAGCCGCACCTAAACTAATATATTGAAAACTCACTCAGCGGTAGCGTCTCATACAGTTTCAAGAATAAACGGTCCTCATTAGACCGGACCATCTTCGTAATTGTCTCAAGCATATTCATCAGTACATACCATTGAACAAAATGTCCACAGAACCAGTCGTCACGAAGGTCGAGCTCGATACGGCGACTGCTACTTCCGTCATCGCTACGGATGCAGATACTGCCCCCTCAGAAGTAGCCCCTGTTTCGTTCTTTCGAGGAACTCTTTTCCAAATCTTCGTCGTGGGTATATGCGCT